GCTGAGGCTTGAGCCAGACACCAGGCAGCACTGGGTGTCAGGAGCTGCTCGCCCCCACACTGAAGTGGGGCCTCGCTCAGCCAGCCAGCAGGAAGGCTGTGAAGGCCCTGCTCCCCACCAGCCTCTACAGGAACCTGAGCCTGCGGTTCCCCAGGAGAGAAGGCCACACCCTCCCTGCTTGTGCCCAATCTGTCCGCCTGGTCCCCGTCCCCTGGCTGGAGGCAACTGGAGGGTGAGTAGATGCTGTCACTGATAAAGAGCCACGGTGGCCCAGTGTACTCTCCCTGCCTCTCTGGGGACAAGTAAAGCACTCCCTTCCCTGACCTCTTTTATACAAATGAACACCAGGAACCTGAGAGAGGAGTGGGCCTTTGCCCTGTCACAGCTGAGGGAGGGCGAGCTTGAGACCACAAGACACCCAGGGCTGAGGACAGGGAGGGGTCCCGCTGGGACCTTGAGTCATGAGCTCCCTCCTCTTCATCAGGGAAACGCCCAGCTGGGTGGCTGACTAACTGCTGGCCCCGCCTGCTCAGAGTTCACCCTGTCCTGGCAACTCCCATCCCCTCCTGCAGGGCCACTCTGCCAATCAGACCTGTTCTTGCTGCTACCATCCCGTCCCCCGACCCCTCTGCAGGAGAAAGTCCAAACTCCACAGGCTGGCATGAAAACGCCCCGGGATCCGGCCTTGCCACACCTCCTCCCATCCCTGGCTGGCTCCTGCGGACATCCCACACACGCCCATGAGGCTGTGCCTTCTGCCTCATAAACCCTTGCTGCCCACCAGAGCTGGTGCCCTGCCCCCTGAGTCCCCTGCACAAGGCAAGCACTCTGTATGCACCTATGACAAGCACACAGGCACCCAGGGCAACAATGGGAATACCAGAGAGCAGATGCACCCCCACCCTGCCCATGGAGAGGTAGTCTATCAGACCTGATAAGGAATTATGACCTTCCAAATAGGTGAAGGAAAGGAGCAAAGTTAGGAGAGCAGAGGACAGGAGCTATGTCTGATGATCATGGAAAATGCTCCCTGCGAAGGCCCTTCCCACAGGGGGCTGAAGGAACCGTGGTGCACAGCACTGGAGTGATCAACAGCAGGCTTGAGCAGCTGCTGTGGGAGGGTCAGTGTGGTGAGGAAGGGGCAGGTGGGGCAGGATGAGGCTGAGAAGAGAGGCAGCCACCAGGGCACTCGGACCCATGAGCCATGTTAACAATCATGGCGTTTAGTCAGTCCCACCACAGAGAGAAGGTGCGCAGCAGTCCATACTGTGACAAGAGCTGTGTTTCCCTGGGCTCACTCTGGGCTCCAAGGGCCATTCTCAGGGCCCCCGGCCTGCTCTCCTGGCAGGGAGCTCATGTGGATGGTGCTCAGCACTGTGGAGGAAGCTGTCGTTGGAGAATATATTCAGAGAGGGGGTCCAGGAACACTAGGGCCAACTAACAGTCTTTCAGCTGATCAAAATGGGAGAAGAAGCTGTGTAGACTCCAGCCTCATTCCTCTAAGCTCATTCAGGGAACATCCCTCTGGATCAAGACCACCATAACCCCACTAAGCCAACTCTAGGTGCTGAACAGACAGCAGCAGAGGAGGAGGGCCATCCCACCCACCTGGCATAGCACTGGGAGCAACAGCAAGGAGGTGTCCATTGCTCCCCTGAGGAAGCTGCTTAAGGTGCCAGGAGGCCCATGGGCTTCTGGTCAGCCCCATGCACCCACATGGGCAGGATCCCCAGGGGACCTTTGCCCACATCTGTGCACTGATAACCAAATCTCAGGCAGAAGAGCCAGATGGCACCAGGACACTGGCTCCAAATGAACCTTAGACCAGAAAAGTAACTAAATCATCCCAACGGCTGTCCGAATCAAGTCACCGTGAGGCTAACCCAAAAGGAAAAACAAAACAAAACAACAGCACCCCAGGCCCACACCCTCCAACCTGTCCACCTGGGCAGCCAGAGGGAAGCACGGCCACCCAGTTCAAGAGTTCCTTCCGCCTCTGGGGACCAGGGGTCTATGGAAGCATCCCACTGTGGAACATTTTGGAGCTTTCAGGAATGGCCCAGAAACTCACCTTTTTCCATACAGCCTCCAAACACTTCCCAGAGGACCTGAACACTGCCTCGGGAAGACCCTTTAAGCAGAAGCAGGCCGTATGAACTGTTTTACTGCTCACAACAAATGCAGGAAGGGCTGCTTTGCAAACCCAAACCCTGGGCTATGCTTCCCACCTCTGACATTGATGTGCCACTGACTGTGACATCCCTGTCCCTCCCAGTCCCCAAACAATAACAATGCCTCCTTGTTAATATCCCAAGAATAAAAATTAAGAATCTGAAGACAAAGGGCATGGTCAAGGTCAAATGTCAGCCTCAAAGTTCATGTGGCCTGGCTCTGAGCCTGCACCTCTATCTCTGCCAAGGGAGATGACCAGGTCAGCATGGACAGCACCATTCCTGGTGGCACAGGCATGCTCTTTCATGCCCTCACTGAGGAGTCCCCTCCCCACCATGACAGGTCCTGCTTGGCGCCTCTCCTCCTGGGGCCTCTGGAAAGCCTGGCACATTTTTTTCCCAAAGGATTGTTCTCTTCAACAAAAGAGGAAACTTCCTGGCCTTATCAGATATCTGGCTTCTTACTGAAATACCAACTGCAATGAAAATTTATCCCAGAAATACTGGGGCTGGAAGGTTTTCCTGAGGCCACCACTCCTGGCCAGAGCCAAATGCGTGTGTGACAGATGGGACAGACTCAGGGACCCAGCCAAGACCCTCCCTGAGAAACATACCCAGTGGGGGGCAGACTTCCACCACCCAGGGGTAGCTGTCCCATAACTCCTGGGCACCAGGGCTAGCTGGGGGCCATACCTTCACAGAAAGCTGGTACTGTTCTAACAGAGGGAGCTGTGGAAGCCATACTGGAAGCCCAGCAGCAGGAAGGGCTGTGAGCCCTCAGCACACACCAGGCACTTCATACACAGGGCCCTGATGACCACTGGTATCTCATTTTAATGAGGACAAGACTGTCGTGCAGGGTGGGTGTCAGTTTTGAGGCTGAGTCAACCTCTCTCTCTGGGGAGGCCAGGTAGGGAGAGCGAGGTTCACCCCCAGTGCAGGTTCAAATCCCACCACACTGCCTTCTAATTATGGAGACTTGAGGAAACTGCCCAACCTTCCTATACCTGTTTCTTCACCTGTATGGGGGCGTCAGAAAATCTTATTGCTCAACAAGCATACGAGTTAATATTTATAAAGCACTTTACAACAGGGCTTGGCATGTCGTGGCTGCTGTGAATGCTTCTGGCTATAATAATGATTGCTATCATTACACATTGCCCAGGCTGCCCAAGTGGCACAGCAGGGTCCTCACAAGGCCACCATCCTTCCATCTATCCCTTGGGAATCCCTGCCTCAAAGTTCTCTGCTGCTCCCCAGGCCCACTGTGCTCCCCAAAGAACATCACCAGGTACACCAGACATCTGGAGGCCTCCTAGAGAAGACCAGGCAAGGCAGATGTGGACACATCAGGGATTATGAAGGGCACTGTTTTAGTGGTCACCAGCTGGGGGTGCAACCATGAAGATTACGGGGCAGGGGCCCAAGAAGACAGAAGAGCCACCCTGTGGGATTGAGCAGTGGGTCCCCTGAGAAAGTCAAGACTGGATCGATCCTGGCTCTGCCGGGTCCCTGTGGACACCCTACACATACTCCTGATACTCAGTTTCCTGGTTATAAAACAAGGCAGGCCAGTCCTTCCCAAGAGGCTGTGGAGATTGAATGAGCACGGGGTGAGTGTTCCTCAGCCTGACCCTCCATGGGACGTGGGCCCAACAAGCAGTCAGTCAGCCAGGCAAATGTTTCCTGTTTGTTCGTGCTCAATCCCCGGTGCCCGGAGAGCTCCCAGTGCATAGCTAGAACTTGCCAAGTGTGATGGGGGTCTCCAGGGAGCTTGGTGAGGCTGGCATGGTGTTAACACTCAACGTCATCATCTATCTGCTCTGGCCAACAGGCCTGGAGATTTTCCTGTGACCAGCACCCATTTTATAAATAAGAAAGCTGAGACTCACCAAGTCGCAGAAAACCATGCCCATACCTTTCCCACGGCCTCAACCCCGTGAGAAGAGAAGCCCAGCAAGCAGGAGGGACTTTGGGCTGCTGGAAGGCATGCATGACATGGGGACACTTCCCCATCTCACTCCAGCCCCACCACCATCAGGGCACCAGAAGCCAGGAGCAGTTGCAACTGGTCAAAGGCGACTCCTAGGTGGCAAGCAGGACTCTACAGCAGGGAGCTGGCCGAGGATGCAGGCGAGAGCCACTGGAAGTGAGGGAGGCTGGGGCCTATGGCTCTGACTGCATGAGAAAGAAGAGCACTGTCAGCAGCACAGCTACTACGCGACAAGAGCCCCTTTGTCCTGATGGAGAGAAATGGACGCCAAGTCCCCAGTTATTACTCAGAAGTGTTAGCTCAGGCACCCCTGTCCTGCCAGGAAGGCGGGGGGAACAGCCACTATTCCGGTTGCATTTCTGTTGATAATATGACTTTGTCTTTTGTGACCCTGAGCTGATTCCCAGAAGAATCATATCTGTCCACAAAAGGGAACACAGAGGGCAGGCTGGTGGCAGTGGCAGTGGCAGCAGCTGGCCGACATGAAAACCTCACCAGTGGGGTCAGGACCGGGGAGGCTGCTGAGGAAATAATGCCAAGACAGAGCCACTGTCAGGGCTGAGCATCCCTGTGCTGAGGATGTGGCAGCCACATCTGGATTCACAGCGATCTGAGCAGTCGCCCACATCATCATGGGCTGGGTGGCAGGGTGTACACACCCTGGGTGTCTGTCCTATGTGACTGGGGCCTCACTTGCAGAGAAGCACCTGCCAGGAAGCCATGTCTTGCCAGTGGCAGAACCACTTCTGTGGATGACATGTTGAGACAGCCGCTACTACTTGATCCATAGCCTACAGCAATTCCCAGGTCTCCACTCTGCCCCCATCTTCACTCACCTGGAACCTGTGCACCAGCTCCAGGGACTGGCTGTCATTCTGGTCAGCTTCGAGGATGACATCGGTCAGCTTGTGGATGATGACGTCCAGGGGACCCTGCTCCTCAATCGGCCGGCTGAGGTTCAGCTGAACAAAGATGAGGCAACAACTTTAGCACCTGCATCTGTTGCCCCTTCTACTGACTACCCTGACCCCCCAAGGACTCTCAAGCCTGTGTAGTACGTCGGGAGGGGGCAGCACACCAGGCTCTCCACCAAGGCAAGACAGTTCAAGGGTCCTCTGGGTCCCTCCGCTCCAATTGCAAAACTGAATCTTGTTTTGCAAGATTCTTGTGCAAAATGTGGGCAGGACTGACAGGAACAGCCCCCTAAAGCCCCACTGCTTGTATCTTTCCCCAACTCCCCGATTTGCACTTCTGGTCCCCATAACCCATGCCACCCAGAGCAAGCAAGCAATGCTATAAACAGTTGTATAGAAAAAGCATTTATTGATTATATCTCATCAGCCCAACAACCTAGGGAAATGGCTCAGAAATGTTAAGTAAAATGACTACAGTCACAGGGCCTAACCAGAATGAAGTGAATCTTTACTGAGTGAATCTGAGTGAATACTCTTTCCATGTAACCACAGAAAGTCTCGGCAAAGCTGTGGTCCTGGGAAATCTAAGAGCTGCTGCCTGGAGAACCCAGCCAGAACTGCGCTGGGCTGAGATGTGGGCTCTTGATGAGCTGCAGAGGAGAATAAGCGGCCCGCAATCAGGGTAGTGCTGCTCACGCTGCTCCAGGAGGGAATGTGTTTATTTTTTCAAGAACCCGGTCCTGGGGAGATCAGGCCCCAAGGCAGCCAGAGCTGCTGGCTGATAGTCAGCATCACCTGATCCCAAGCCAGGAACACCTGCCGGCAGCCAGGGCAGCCTGACACCATGCTTCCTGAACGACCAGATGTCTGCAGCCAGCACACGATCACTACCACCTGCAAAGCCTGTCCCATGGAGGCTACGGCGCCAGCCTGGCACCTGGCTGACCCCCTGCATGGCTCACCAGAGGCCAGAGAAGGCCATGAGCCCCGCCCTACCTCAACCCTGCCCAAGTGCATCTCCCTCCAGGATCCAAGGGCTCTCTCTCCACTGTCAGCAAAGACATCACATGACAGCTACAGACGATCATTCCAAGCAGGCACGGTGCTCACAGTTTACATGTGCTTGTTCTGTTTTATTTCCAACCACCATGAGAAAGGATTTTACAATGAGGAAAGGGGGGAACGGAGACTTAACACCTACCTGGGACCTCAGTAAGAGGAAGCAGAGGAGCTAGGATGCAAATCTGTCCATCCATCCCTGTCCCTTCTCTGGCCAGTGCCCACTCGGTGCTCTGGAAGGCTGGGCTTTAGAGCCACAACCACTGGCCAAGTCAGGACACCCAGGGGCCCCAGCAGAAGATGGGAGGGGGAGCAGCCGGGTGTTTATTCGGCCATCCTCATGCTTCTCATGCTCCCCTGGGCCCCATCACCTGTTGAATTTCTGGCGGCAGCCACAACCCCTCTCCCAAGACAGCCATCTCTATGGCTCCAATTACATTTCTGGTCCTCCTGTCCCCCCGGGCCTGGGGGTGGTGACAGCCCACCACACTTGTTCACCCTGGGGCACTCTTCCTTGTGAGCTCCTCGGGCCCTGCCCATACTCAGGCACACGTGCTAGCTTATTTTAACTCTTTTTCAGTATGTACTGGTCCTTTCCTGCTGACCTTCTTAACTCCTCTTTTTTTATTGTTTGCTAGGTAAAATGTTAAGGGATCTCTCCTATTTAAGGGGAAAAAAATAAAGCCAGAGACCTCACAATGAGACTGAAGAATACGCTTCTCTCCCCATGGAGACTGTGTACAATACAAAACAAAACGGCAAGGGCTGGGGATTTAGCTCAGCAGTTTCGCCGCCTGGCCTGCTGTGCAAGCGCAAGGACCCAAGTTCGATCCCTGGTACCAAAACAAAACAAAACAAAACAAAACAAAACAAAACAAAACAAACCCCAGCAAGACCCAGACGGCTGCAGCACTGACCTGACCACCCCTTCTGGATGAGGGCAAGGGGCATGTCCCAAATGTCCTCTTGAGACAATCACACATTCACTCTCACAGTGAGCCCAGGAGCTGGGGACAACCTTCTCCCTTCCCGGAACAGGACACCAAGCACCCAAGATGGAAAAAGCGGTCACCCAAACCAAGCAATGGGAAGCAGATGGACACGAGGCAGCAAAGCCCCTGTGGCAGCTCTTGCCGAACTGCCAGCTGACCGGAATTTGCCATTCCTCTGGCCTCAGTTTCTCCTCGAGTGAAAAGGGAAAGCTTCAAGGGCCTTTCTGGCTCAATCTGCAGACTCCATATTACAGTATGTTCTGACCCAAACCCTCTTCTCCCCAAAAAAAGCAGAATCCAAAGGAAGGTAGAGAAGTCAGTGGGAAGAGGTAGAGAAAGGAGAGGACTCAAGGTGCCACAGATGCCAGCCCTTCCTTCTGTACTCCACTATGACAGGCACCGAAACAAGAGGCCAGTATTTTCAAATTGAGACAGCTACAAATATAGTGACACTGGGCACAAACCACAGGGCTGGCACAACCACATCTGTCACCCACATCCCCAAAGACAACCTCCTAGGTCTCTATGCAGCATCAGAGACAGAAATCAGCCCGAGAGGTGTGGTAACACACGCCTGTAATCCCAGGACTCAGGAGGCTGAGGCAGGAGGATTACCACGCGTTTGAAGCCAGCCTGGGCTACATAATGATTTCAAGGCCAGTTTGAAATATAGAGACCCTGGCTCAAAAAGCCAAAAGAAAAGAAAGAAATCAACCAGGGAGGAGCCAGGGGGTCCCCTTAGGATTTGGTAAGGTGGGCAGAGGGACACCTCTGGTATCAGCCTAAGGCATGTGGACCTGACAACCGTAGGCTATTAGGAAAATAATCTCTCTGCGTTCCTGGCCATTCTGCTGAAGGTAAACAGTTGAGATCTGGAAGCTGGCCACTTTTCTCTGTATTTTCCAAGCATTTTTATGCCAGTAAAGCCCTTGCACGAGAACAGCCACTTGGGACATGCACCAGGCCTAGCCACTATCCAGCTGCTGTCTCTGCTCCAGCATCTTTGCAGGCCATAAGCAGGGTCACTGTGGCTATAAAGGCTCTTCAGGCATCTCATTTTCCCAAGTGGCCGGACATGACACCTCTCTCTGAAAGACTCTGTTCCCCTGAAAACACCTCACCTGAGCCTCCGTCTCCTCATTGGCTGGAAAGGAAGAGGCCAGGCCTCCATGTGGGCAGACAGCGCATCATGGGACAGCAGGCTTGGGTGCAGGGGAGGGGACCCTTAGGAGAGGGGAGAGGATGCTCCAGAAGAGGGGATGCTGCAGAGGTCTGCAGACGGGGCAAGGACAGGCACCCAGGCAAAAGCAAACTCAACACAAGTTTGTCATTCTGTTTTTCTGACCACACTCTGCCCCCGGGAAAGAGAACATTCCCAGGGACTTCTTGTTCTCTTCTGTCCCTCTCGGCAAGGAGTGAGGGTGTCGCGATGAAAGGGCCGCCCACTGAGGCCAGAGGAGGTCCGTGGGCACTCCGTTTCCAAGTCAGGCCATGCTGTGAGGCCAATGCTAGACGCTGGTCTGTGCAGCGTGCAAGGTTCGGAATCGGGAGAGAACAAGGGGCCTGTGTTTCCTCAGTCACAAAGGCTGCAAGGCTTGGGGGAGAGAGGTGCTGGGAGGAGATGGGACAAAAGCCTGCAAACTCCAGTGGCCCAATTGTGACCTTTGACTTCCAAAATGATTAACCCAATCGTGCCCAGCCCAGTAACCAAAGTGAGCCCGGCCAACACTGCCCTGTCCCCTGCACCTGGAATCAGGGAGGGGCATGGGCAGGCCAGGCCTGGGAACCACCCAGCCCCACTGGGCCTTGACTGAGGAAGGTCATTAACCACTCCACACCAGTTTCCCCATTCACACAATGAGGACACAAGTGACTCTTCCCTACACCTCACAGGGCTGTTTGCTTCTGGGAGGAAAAGTTCAATCCTTTTTCACACTTCCCAACTTACCCCACCCCAGAAAGGAAGCATGTATGGCTCCCTCGTCTCACCTACATCCCCCAGTGCCTTGGTGCTTCCCTCCAGAACTGCTTCCAAAATACACAGCCACTTCTTTAACCCACTGTTTCCACAGGACTGAGGCAACTGCCTCGCACCGTCCTGCTGCAGCTGCTCGTTGCCTCTGGCTTTGGTGTCCCTCACTGCCCTGCTCGTGGCATCACAGGATCAAGGAGGTACAGGGCTGCTGCACCAAACCTACAGCTTCTGGGACAGCGCACACAGGCTGCCATGGCTCTGAGGCTCACAAAGCCATGACTAGGCGTCAGGTGAGGATGCCTGCAGGGCCAGCACCTTCTCAAAACCTTGACTTCATCTCTGCAGCATGAAGCCTCACCAGCAGAGCTCTGGCCCACAGCTCTTGGACACTTGCTCTGTGCCAGGCTCTGCTCTGAGCCTGTTGCATGCAGGGACTCCTGCAATTCTCACAACAGTCTGAGGCAGAGCCCGAGACAGGGCACAGTGGTTAAATGAGGCCAGGAGGTCTCACAGCTTCACATGCATTATTATCAGTACCTCACACTCAATAAATGTCAGCTATGGTATTTCTTTCTCCTTGCTCTTCACATTCCTGCTGACAGGGAACCTCCCTGGTGTTATGCCAATGATAGCCCAACACAGGCCCGAAGATGAATCTGCAAAGCCTAGGCCACTTCTACTGGCTGACATGAGAGACCTCCAAGTGCATGCCGCCACACCAAAACTTGCTGTCCTTGGTGATAATGAACGGCCTTTATGAAGTACTTATTTTAGTGCTTATTCTTTGCTAACGAACACTGACTCCACAGGGCACAGATGAGGAAGAAGAGTCACGGGGGTTAGTGACATACCCAAGGGTATGGAGTTACAGTACCATGGAAACCCAGTTTCTTGAACAGCCCAAAAGCTATAGCAGAAGCAGAGTGGGAAACCCAGTTCCTTTTCCTCCCAAGGCCAGACCATTACCCTCCATACCAAGCAACATCACAGGTGCCTGGGGCTTCTCTTTGCCCCCTTCTTCC